AGTGGTTAAGATACCTGGCTCTTGAGGCCGAGGTCGCTGGTCCGAATCCGTGCTTGCACGATGGAGGACGTCGGGCACATGCTGGGATGGGTAGCGCCATCTTGTAACCTCAGTTGTGGGGGAGCTAAATGTGCACATTCACTTAGCTGCTGCTCTTCGTAGACAGGGGCTGGAACGACAGTGCCTATACAATTGCCGCGGCCATGCCACTGTGTTTCTAGCATTTGGGATCCACATTACATATGTCTATGCGGTCACATCGCCGTGCCATTCGATGCAGCAATTGCAACTGGAAGAATTGGATGTCGTGCTTCCACAGTCCGCAGACTCCGCACCCATCCCGCTCCTCTTCGCTCTGCAGGGGTGGCCACTTACCGTAGGAAACGAACGCCTGCTCCTCGGGTCCTTTTTCTCAGCAACCCAATGCCGGACTGGCCTTTGTGTCATTCTCGAGCAGTTTGTTCTGCCGGTGAGTATCGAGGACCTTATGAGATTCCTCTTCCCCCTGATCTTCTCCTCCCTCCACTACTCTCCTCTTCCCGTCCCCCCCCCCTCCCCCCTCTTCGTCCTCTCCCTCCCCTTCCCCTCCTCTCTCCCCTTGTGCAAAACTACTACATGCATACGAATGAGTATGACTAAGAGAACAGACAAAATCTCTCTTTTTCCTCTTCGTTTTTTCTTAACAGACAAGATCTAAGGTGCAAGTGTGCTGAAAAGCAAACGGGTGTGTACGCATCCCATGCTCAATCAAGTACACACCCCTTTGCTTTTAAGCACACGTGCACCTTAAATTTTGTTTTCTTCATAATCATAATCCACCATGTGCATCTGGGTGGAAAGGGGGTTGTTCTGGCGACAGTGTACAACACACACAAAACCTGTGATGCCACATGGATTCGAACCCATGACCTGTTTACTAACACTTTCATGTGTGTAGTATGTACCGTGCAGCGATATGCAGGACCTTGTTGCTTTGTCTCTTTCCTCTTCTTCTTCTTCTTCTTCTTCTTCTTCTTCTTCTTCTTCTTCTTCTTCTTTTCTGCATTTCAAACATTGAGTATCCAATTTCGCTGCGCTCTTCATCGTTGCTAGGGCCAAGATATATTCGCTTGCCGAGAGTTGTGCAAGAATTTGGACCATTTCTCGATTTATGCGTGTCATCCTTGCGCAGGGCATGGTAATCAGTAAGTCTACTAATCTTCTTTCTCTGTATCGTTCCAATTTTATCGGATGTCCCAAAGGACGGTTTGGGAACTTCTCTACCCTTTTTTTTTTCTTTTTTTTTTCCCCATCCTTAGCCACTGATTTGCAGTCTGTGATGGGTGGGACATGGGTGTGTGTGATTGCAGAGATGGCAGTGCAGTGACTGGGAGCAGCGCCCGTTGTCAGAGGATCAAGTGATGTATGCAGCGGCGGATGCGTACTGTTTGCTGCCCATTTTTGATGTGCTGTGTGCACGCTCTTCCGTACAGAATGGGAGATTAAAGCCAGGTACTCGACTTTCGCTGCACATGAACCTGGTCTCTTTTATGGCCAGGAACATGCTTACGTAGCAAAGTTGCACATATCCTTATTGTCATTGTTAGAAATCGCTGTGCAGCGATGCTCGTCCCCGCTCCGCCCACACCGGCTTTTTCTGGCTGGGGTCCCACCCGGGCAGCCCCAGCGGGCCCAGCTCAAAATATTAAAAAAAAAAAAAAATCAAAAGAATCCGGGAAGAAAAACGTTTCTTGTCCTGTGTGTAAAATCATAAAAGTTGTGACAAAACAAACAACTTAACTTTTGGTTCACGGTCTCCTCAAATTTCCTTACCAATTCTAGATAAGAACTTCCTCCCCCCAGCAAACTTGCACTTTCTTTTTTTTTTCTTCATTTGCTTGCGTTTTTTTTTATCCCCGGTTCTACCGGGAGGTGCAAAATTTTTCTGCGTCCTGGCCATAACATACCGGTACTTCGAATTTCCGAATTACAGAGTGCCGTGGGGCCTGGTCGTTTTAAGTCTAAACCCTTGACTGTTATAGTCCTTCAACCCTAAAGGGCCTAAAGGACCTAAAGGGCCTAAACCCTACCTGAGGTACAGTGCTGCTGGAGGTAGTTACCGCGGGCCGATGCCAGGACGAAGAACAAGCTTCCAATTGGAAGAAGGGGACCAGCTTGCGATTGGAAGAAGGGGACAAGCTTCCAATAATTGGAAGAAGGATCAATTCAAACATCAAAGTGGTGATCATGACAAAAGCGTGGGCTTGTTGCCCTTTTGACAAAAGCACGGTCGGTTCGGCAATGATATCTAAAGGTCGTCGCCCATTTGAAAAAAGAAGGAAAAACTCCAAAAAAGGGAAGAAGAGAGAAAGGGGGAAAAAAAGAAAAAAAGAATGTTCTGCATGGGACTCGCCTCTTAACTAAGAAGGCAAATTGACTTCTGCCTCTTCCATGATGGTTTTTTTTTTTTTTTTTTGTCTGCGATGGTTTTGTCTTTTCAACTTCCCTCAGGAGCATTGAGTGTAGTAAGTTATGCCGGCGTCAGTGGTTCTCAAGGAGTCGGGGTTGCTTGCATACTGGAGCAGAGGAAGTGTGAGTTTGACGGAAGACCAACAAGAGGCGGTGATGGTGGCGGCCGGAAGACAAGGAGGGTCGTGACAATCTGTGCGGCAGATGCGTTTTTCGCAGGGCGACCCAGTCGCGTGTACTTCTTGGCCAGAGGCCCCGCAGAGGATGTCATCATGAACTGCGCACTGAACCGTCAGTTAAGAACTTCACAGAGATCGGGTGTGTTCTGGCCGCGGCGCGAGGGGATCACGCTGCAGCAAGGAAAACAAGCTGCTACAAACACTGACACACAGGAGGCGGCGATTGTGGAGAATGATGCACACAGCACACCTTGTAGGTCGGTGGGAGATCGCAGATGGCAGTCAACGACGGGCTGGCTGAAACTTCTCAGAATGTCCCATCAAGCAGTTCAGACTGTGGAGTCTTTGGCGCTACGTGACAGTGACGACGGAGTTGGTCCAAACATGACAAGCAGGAATGGGGAGAAGAGGAGCCGATCTGGGAGGAGGAGGAGGAGGTCAAGGGTACCTCAATCGGCAACCGAGTCAGAAGGTGGACTTAGCAAGGCTCAGGAAATCGATCTCGATATACAATGGAGAGGGCCTCCTCCATGGGACATCGCTCTCGGGGGAGACGGGGAGGCACACTTTCTCTGTGACACAATGGTATGCATGCGTCGCATGACCAGATATGGTGCTCCACTTCTGAATCATCAATCAATTGATATCAATCTTTCTTTTTGCTCGCACTGTCAGTGGGCAACACAGTGTTTTGTCGCCTTCTGTAAGAGGTGGGGGGGGGGGGGGGGGAACAGAAAAACTTCTGAAAAAGAGAAAAAGGGAAAAGGAAAAGAGAACAAGAAAAGCTTATCGTCATCAGGGCAGTTCATACTTTAACCCAACCCTTCCTCCCCGTGCAGCACCCACCCCACCATCCGCACCTTGGACGTCTCCAACTCCACATGTTTTCATCGGAGGAAATTGCGATGAGCCAAAACTTGAACTATGGCCTCCCCACACCCCCCCCCCCAAAAAAAAAGAAAAAAAAAAAAAGGCTCAATCCGAGTCAATCGACAATAAAATTGAATAAATAAACGAATGTGACCATCCCTCCATTTTTGACCTGGGGGGTGGGGACCATGCAAGACTTCTTGAGCCCTGTTTCTGGACCCTTGGCCTACCAGGCAAAAAAAAGACACGTCTTCACCCGAATAGAACGCCTGGTCATTTATAGCTGTATTTGGGGCAACTTTCACACCAGATGCAGCGATAATGGCTGGGTGTTTTATTAGGGTGAAGATGGCAGTCAGGATGGGTGAAATATACGCACCTTCTAAGCGTACGAGGAAAAGTGTCAGTTTTATGGGTCAAACACTCAAAGATGATTTAACCAGTGAGGCAGTGACGAAGAAACTGCGTGGATAGGGAGAGGACGAAGCAAGGGGTTTAAAAAAAATAAATAAAGCAAGGAGCAGAAGATAAATTTGTCGGTTGAAAAGGAACCGCAGTGACGCTCCCCACAGTGGATATGGAGCAAGGACCTTAAGCTTTTTTTTTTTTTTTTTTTTTTTTTTTTTTTTTTTAAAAGGGTGTAGGAAAGAAAGATGTACAATTCATGAATGCCTCCTCAGTGTTCTTGAGTAACACAGGCTCGACAGGGACAGGTTTGAACCTGGGTCAAAGTTCAAGGACAGGTTTGAACCTGGGTCAAAGTTCAAGGACAGGTTTGAACCTGGGTCAAAGTTCAAGGACANTCAAGGACAGGTTTGAACCTGGGTCAAAGTTCAAGGACAGGTTTGAACCTGGGTCAAAGTTCAAGGACAGGTTTGAACCTGGGTCAAAGTTCAAGCAGGGACTTCAGGTGTATGATTCAACAGGGACAGGTTTGAACCAGGTTCAGACTTCAAAGTTCAAAGTATAAACCAGGGACTAAAGCTGTACCAGGTGCAACACACACACAGGTCTGAACCAGGTTCAAAGTACAAATCAGGGAGTTAAGCTGCACGACATTCAACTGACAGGTTGGAAACCACGTTTGGAAGTTTGAACCAGGCAGGCACTTAAACTGTACCAGATTTAACAGACATAGGTTTAAACCAGGAGGTCCAAAGATCAAACCAGGGACTTAAGCAATACCACGGTCAACGCACAGGTTTTGGAACCAGGGACGAACGTAGCTGGGTGAACAAGGCAATCCTCATGAAAGAGGTGTCCAAGAAAATCTCTAAAGAACGGTTTGATATCGAAGGATTCGTTCGTGAAATGGTACCAAAGGACTCGTTCCGAGTCGTTCATGAAATATGCACCAAATGCCACCAGTTGCATTCTTTTTCCTGTTTTTTTTTTTTTTTTTTTTTTTTTCCAGCAAACAATACCGATTCGATTTCTTAGGTTTTAACTTTTAAGTGTCAAACCTTCATTAGTTACATGATGGGGCCAGGATTGAACCATTAGCGGCTGGATGCTAAACAACGCGGAGGTGATTCGCAGATCCACAGCTGTAAGTATCAGCTCAGCTGGTATAATCATTGCCTTCAAGCGCGAAATCCAATGGTTCCGAAAAGAAAAACCGCAAATCAATCGCTCCCTCCCCAGGCATCATCAAACCTGCAACCTGCTGATTGAAAATCAGAATGCCTACCACAAGGCGAAGTGAACTGGGATGAAACTGAAGCTCGCAGATGATAATTTCAGCCCAACCCAGAATGGTTAGTATACAAAACATACCACCATGACCCCGGTGTACCCAGACACAACTTCAACCAAATGGCCCTCCTCAAGCCTGAGCTTGAGGGGGGTTGTTTGCACGCCGACCCAACCAGGTACGGTTCCCCGGAGGTTCCAATTCAAGTATCAGGGCTTAATAGTGACGGAGAGAAATTTGAATTCGGATGCAGAGTCGCTTTGCGATTCTCTTTTCATTTTTTTTTTAACTTTTTTTTCCCTCGCAATCTTGTCACTCCTGTTTTTTTTTTTCGGTTTGTTGTAGTTGTGAGGTTTGAGTTTATGCCAAATTACGGGTCCCAAGTTGAGCACCACTCTTTCGTCTCCTTGAGCCATGGTTCACCATTTCCTGTTTCCTGACGAGCACCTTCACTGTCCAATCGATTCAGCTCTTGGCATGAACTCTAAATGAATGTGAACAGGAACTCATGCCACATTCATTTAGAGTTCATGCCAGGGTTGCATAGCTGCCGACCGCTGACCGTTTTGCAGCCGACCAGTAGGGCCGAGTGGTCAGCGGTCTGCCGACCAGTCAGAAAACAGTCATCCACTGACTTTTCTTAAAATCTGAGTTGGGGGCTGGACTGTGCTTGCTGAGTACAGCCCAAATCCACTGAGAAACTTTTGGGGATGGGGGGGGGGG